GATCACTAAGGCTAAAAAGTAGTTTATCAAAAACTCACTTTTTACGACATTCGGCACCGTGCCGGTTTGTCGCGAAACTTCGACAGGTCATAACTTCTTCGTTATAACTCGGATTTCGGCATTCTTTATATATCCGTAATCCTTGTCACGACCACTACAACTTTATTAATAAATATCGGCTTTATCTAATATTTATTTTCGACGCTCATTTTTAGTCTTACTTAATTAATTAAACCCTAATAATTAAGCATAAAACACATAAAACACATAATATTCACATAATTCCTTTTCATTTCTCCAAAATGAGTCACAAAGGTTAACCTAGACTATCATGTCAATATTAATGCCTAGCCTAGAAACACGGGCATTACATCTGGCTTGCTCCCCGATCAGATCAATCCTCAAATTGGATACTACTAAGCCCTCAGCACAAGTCTAGCATGCCCTTCTCGGCCCTCAGCTCGTATCTGGAATGCTCATAAGCCCTCAGTGTGAGTCTGGCATGCCCTCCCCGACCCTCAACTAATATCTGGATTGCTCCAGGGTTTGTTGGCTGCCGTACGCAGCAGTACAACCTCAACCCAACCCACACAATATGTTGACATATAACAAATAATAACATACATAGATAATCAGACAGTATCACATGTAGCCCCACAGATCTACCAGACTAACATATCAAAACTAGCATGCATACTCAACATATCAAAGAATATCAGGTTATCAAACCAATAGGCCGGCCTTAGTGCCTTTGACCCATAAGTATAGTGAGGAAAACTCACCTAGCAGACTGAACATAACTGATGAGGTCCAACTCCGAATCTCAGTTCTCTAACCGATACCTGTTTCCACCAAGTGACCAATTCCATCAAAATCCGAAAATACCCTCAAGGTCCAACTTGGTCAAAGTCAACGGTCAAGGTCAACAGTCCATGTTGACCCAACACGTCGTGTTCCACTTGGCCATGCCTTCTCTTCCAGCATCCAAACAGTCGGGAAAACCTCAGCCAACACGTCGTGTTCGCCAGCATCCAAACAACTTAATAGATTCAACTGCCTCCTTGACTCCAAGAGCTCCAAGGCTTAGATCTAGACCAACATGTGATTAAGAAGGATCAAGTTTCCAACTTTATCCATTGGGACTACCAAAAAGGTTCAAAAACCCAAATCATAAGCTTGATAATGCAATGGCTTAACCAAAACACACTTAATCCTTAAGGTCTGAAGTCCATCCTTTCCAGAAGTGATACTAACACCTAAACCATCCCAAAGGTTGGTACTTTTTAGACATACATGTCCAATGCATTTCTTGAACCCATATTAGGTCAAAATGAGGATTTATGACCTAATCACTATGCATGGCATCAAAACTTGATTATAGACCAGATCTAAGACACTACTAGGTCACCTTGAATTGGAGATTCATAAAGTTGCAAACTTTATGAGATCTAACCATTGCAACATTCAAGAACAAGGAGTAAAAGGGACAAAACTCAAAATCAAACACCGTTGAACGATAAAAATCGGGTTTTGGACACTTACAAAGGTCCGGAAGAGTGCCAAACTGAAGAATGGGGCTTGCCTGCTGGATCTTTGCTTCCTGCTTCCACCTTCTTCCTTAAAAACACCAACTAGCTTCACAAATGGGAGGGAAAGATGATTAGGGTTTCTTTTAGGGATTGAGGGGCTAATGGGGGCTGAGGGTGAACAAACCCTAGCCTTTATATTCCTTTAAATAGGGAGCAAAACCCGAAAGATTAGGCTTTCATTCCAGCCATCAAAAGCCCGTTTTCCAAGAGGTAACACGTCGTGTTGCCCAAAATGAAACCCGCGCCTTCTCATATCTGGACACACCGTGTTGGTGTGCCCAACACGCCGTGTCCAATCCTCAATTATACCCAAAGGTGCTACCACTTGACCAATTGACATGAAATAGAATTATAGGGATGAATTTAGAAATACCTGCACATCAAGATGTTACACTTGGATGATGTCTTTTGCCTGGTTTTGAAACATAGTTACCCTCCCGAGTAATTTCCCCTTGTTTTTTTCCCTTAATTAATTTTACCGGTAATATCTTGCCCCTCACCTACAAATGTCGGTTACGACGATAACATGACATTTAAACAAAATTTATAGTTTGTTGGTGTTTTTTTATAAAGACCTTACTTGGATGATGTTTTTAAACGATTTTGAAACATAGTTACCATAATACGTCATTTTTTTTACTGTTGGTCTTGTGTCAACTATCAACAATTCTAATTTTCTGTCTTTTACGTACATATGTATGGCACATTCTCGATTGACAAAGTCTTTTATAGAAGCAGCCACTATATTCTTCTGTAAAGGTAAGACTATTTAAATGTCATGAGTCTATAGGAATCATGTATAAGCGTTGTTGATAATTTGTTTTTATCCTTTTCACTTACGATTAACATATTCAATTTCAATATGATACATTTTTATCTTATTCATGTTAAAATACACTTTTGTATATCTAAAAGTTTATTAGGCCATTAGTTATAACTATATTTCATCTTTTTCTATTATGTGCTATCTCAATGTCCCATCATTATTGTAAATATGTCCATCTGACACTACATATCATTGATATGTTTTTTAATTATATTAGTCTATTTGGATTTCACACTTAGCTAAAACAAACATATTTATTTAAAGGGATTAATTTATTATTTAATGATTCATCAATGAAATAACTAGAATTTAACTAAGATGACCAATTATGCAATAATTGTCATAAGTTTGTATCATGGTAATGTTACTATATTTTGATCAAAGTTGGAAGCTATGAAAGGATTTTATGGTTTGTGTCGTACATATGACATCGAAGTCTCCCAAGGAAAACCCTAAAAATTTTGTGGCTCTCTCCATTTCATCTATTAGTTTGACAGACAACAAAAAGGAGAAAACTCACAAGGGTTTGTCGACTAGCTTGTGCACCAAGAACATCATGGAGCTTGTATGTTTGAAGCCAAGGGGTGCGATTATATTAGTGAGATTCTACTTTGGATCTTTGATCTTCTTGTAGACAAATAATAGTTATTTTAAAACTGTTTGTGTTGCCGCTTAAAATTGTTTTATAAAAAAGATCGTGCTTAGCTTCTAAAAACCCATCAAAAAAGTATTATTTTAAACCATCTCGCATAGTTAGTTGTTATTAACTGATAAAAACTAGATTCATGGTTCAATCATGATCCTTTTTTTTTGAACAGACGATGATTATAAAAAATGAAGCAAAAGCCTAGCAAGAAGCTAGACCAACCAACAATCCAGAAAAAATTACATTAGAGCACGAGAATCTCATGGGTCCTTTAACCAAACAACCCAATCAAAACAACTCTTAGACCTATTAGAACACCAACTATAGGACTTATAAACAATGTTAATAAAACTCTTTTTTAGGAGGATTTCCAAAAAGAGAAGCATTTCTAAACATCCAAATCGCCCACCAGGAGACAACGAAAACCCCTTCCAACACCTCTTTAACATTCTTCTGTAAACATATGGAATCAAACCAAAAAATCCAATCTTCAATAGAAGCAAAGGAATGGACATCCAACCCCCGCCAAGAAACGACTTTCACCAAAACAACATGAGCAAAGAAGCAAGAAAAGAAAAGATGATTGACATCTTCCCTAACATCATTGCAAATCGGGCACAATATGGAAGGAATATCCATACCTCTCAAAGACAAGTTCAAACGAGTAGGTAACCTGTTCAAAAACATCTTCCAACAAAACAAATTAACTTTGATGGGGATCAACTTAACATATCTAGTAGCTGAAAAAAGAAGGAATATTATCCAAATCAACCAAATAACGAGCAGAGGAGATAGAAAACTCACCAGACGGATCCAAGTGCTTCAATTACTTATAATTGATTATGCTTCGAAATATATATCATTATCCGATATTGGTATCAGATCCATATATTAATTAGCACTTAGAGAATCGCTTTTGTGAAAACCTTGTTGAGTTATGATCTTATACACATAAATGAGAAATTGTGTGTGTATAAAAATAATACATATCATGTTTTTCGAAAATTATGATTCTAGAACATGAAAAATCGATTTTATTGTTGTTCGATGTGTTTGAATCTTGCTATTTTGTATTGAACAATGTTTTGATTAGTTAGTACAAATTTTGGATATTTTTTATAGCATGAAAAATCATACAAAACTGTGTATAATATGTTTATATTTATGTGTTTTTAAACTAATTTTAAAAACATAAAAATATATAAACAAATATCAAAGATTTAATGTCAAATGTATGTATTTGATCTTAATCAAAACATTGAATAAAATCATGTTTTATGAAACACTATGCTTAAGCAACAATTAAAAAACTATCGCTAAACACTGATGGAGTTTATAGTTAGGCTAAAATAGTGTTGATGGGTCTCTGTGACGCTTTAAATATGTTGCTAAAAACTATCATATATTTAATTTAGTCAAAATTGTTGTTTGTTAGATTTTTTGTGACGCTTTAATGTTGTCGCAAATGTGCTGAAATTACTTTTATGTTTTTAAAAGTGTTACAATTGATTATATGGATCTAGTAACACATTGCCTTAACAGACCTATGTTTGTGGTGCTATTTAGGTTTTTTTGTTATGTAAAAAGTTTATTTTATCCAACCTCCATGTTGTTTTTTGTATTTTTTAATGTAGAATTTCTTTACAAAATGTAATAGAGATGAGATTAGTTAGGATATTGGAAAGGACTTTGTGTTATCTGAAGTATGGTTGGATCCATTATAGGTGATAATAAGAATAAATTGTAGGTGAAAGCAAGAGAAAAATTGATAAAATAGTTGTATAACAATGGCCTTACATTGATTATATACCAAATAGTTAAACAATTCAGGAACCTATCACATGGAAAGTCCTATGGCCCCATGAATGCATAGACTAAACACAATAAAAATAATCAACATTATGGGGATGGGACCCATTTAATGAAATATTCAAATCAAAGTTCCTTAAACAATCCACACCATGCATGTTTCTCTCTGACACCCCCCATAACAATGTGCTTTATAGCCACTTCACTTAGATCCAATATACATTCCACCAACTTAATATTCAAAATAAATCTCACCCTTTTCCAAAATATTAACACTTACCCACAAATCTTTAGACTGAAATCTTCAACTTCAACAAATTTTTTTATAATAATAATAATGCATTATTGTTCATCCAATCAAGAACAAACTTATCAAGAACCTTACATGAGCAAAAATATGCGATAATTTCGAGTTTCCTTACACTTTCTGATTAAATAAAGTCTTTGACTTTGTTCCCATAGATTGACTTTTTCTTGTTGATGAACTTGAAGAACGAGAAGATAATTGTGGTTCAGGTTTAGATGCTGACGTGTATCTGCTTGATTGGCTTCTTAGCTTCTTCTCGTTATTAGAACCATCTTCGGCTCTAATTTGTCTCACTTTTGTCTCGTTTAAACCAGCAGGAAGAACACAATTGCAAAGAAAACCTTCAAAATTCAACATGATTGGATAAATCATAAGTGGATTGATAGTTTTTTTTTTAATCATTTGATTTACATTTTTTTTATTATGCATAAGTTATGGCTAATATGGCTTTGATAATAGAGAACTATAATTAAGAGAAAAACAAGATCCATATTTTGCGTTTGTATCATAATTTTTTGGATGTTTTTTTAACATAAAAAATTAATCTTGATTTATGGGTTTCTAATGATCATAAACATGGGATCATGTGGGAATTCGCCTCGGTCAAACAAATTGTGTATTGAAAGTTGTGTGCCACACAAGAACATTAAGTTACATCAAGAAACTAATTAATGATGTTAACTCAAAAGGGTATTTTAGACATTTTGATAAAAGTCATTTTCCAACCACATCTAGTTACGAAGTAGCTTGGAAGTTGAAGTTTGCTTATAAAATTCAAACTTTTAGAATGGGTAGCAATTAGCAAATGACTTCCAAACAAAGTTCAACCAAAAGTTAAGCAAATTTTTTTGAATCTTGAAATGCACAAAAAAAAAAAAGTTTCTTTAAAAGTTTCATACAATTTTCCAAAATACCCATTTTGGTAATTTTGTTATACCAGGTTTCACCAACACTTTTCCAAATTAACCATTTTTATATCGGGAAATTATTCGTATACAACAGTTTTTATTCGTACACAACAATTTATATTTTATAATGTTGTATAATACAACATTTTAAAACACAAATTGATATGTATCGAGAAAAACTGTTGTGTACAAATCAGTTCTTTTTTATATCACATAAGAATGGTTTATTTGGAAAAAAGTCTAAAGCTTTTATGATTTGATTTGAAAAAAATGAGGTATAAATGGTCAAACCGTAAAATTGTCCAAAATCTAATAGTTTTTATTTATTTATTTTTCCATAATTCACCCTAAAATTATCAACAAAATATTTGTTATAGAAATAAAAATGATAAGAAATTTGGGATCTTACCAAGTCGAGCTAGTCTATTGACCCAACTAGGAATCGGCCTTTTGGTCAACCTTAAGCACATATCATTGCAAAAGTGATTACAATTTCTTGTAATCAAATTATAACTATTTCCCGAATATTCTCCTGCCAATTTTTCAATAAATCCACGAACCTCTCGTGGACCAAAATCTGTTCTTCCAATCAAGATTGATTTCCTAAATGTAAATCCAGGGCATTTTCTTGGTTCCACTTCAAATATACCCGTTGTCGAATGCTCATGTGCCCCAAATGCATATTCTACACCATGAACTACAAAAAATCAAGAATCATAGTTTGTCACAATCTTAATAACGAAAAATTACCAAAAAAAAAAAACCAATATCTTTTGGGTAGTTATGTGGTTTAACTTTAACCACTAAAACTTTACTTTTTCTAATGAAACCATATATCGGACGTTTTTCCAAATTAACCATTTTAACGTATTATATCATTCTTTCGCTAGTATTTTTCCAAAGTAACCATTTTTGCGTGTTATATCATGTGTTATATCATGTCATATTATGACAGAATGGTTAGATTGTAAAAATGTCTTGAAAGTTTTATGGTTTGATGAAAAATTATAATGTGTAACAATATAAGTAGTTAAACCGCAAAATTACCATATAAATTCAATTCTTTTATGTAAAATGCGCTATTTAAAATAACAATCTAACTAGAAAATACGCTCCTAGGGAGGAATTATAGTAGAAAAATGTAACGTAATGTTATATTTTATGATTGGCTATGTGGAATCCAAAATCATTTTGTTGGTAGAACTTATTAAACATGGCCATTCACATTAAAATTGGTTATAAAAGTCAAAGTGTACACACTAAAAAGAAAGATAACACCTCCTATCATGTTTTGCGTCCTCAACAACACACAAGTAGGGTAAAAGGTTCGACATTTGATAGTGATTTGCCAGAGGGATAATCTTATTGAATTAATTGAATAATAAAAGAAAAAAAAGGCACATTCTAAAATTTCTTACAAGATCATCGTATGTCGAAATCAAGAATCAGATGTTTCATTACAGTAAGAATTGATAGCACATAACATAGCGGAATTGAGACCTCAAAGTCTTGCAATTTATTGAAAAGAAAAACAGGACAATTTGTGTTTATTATTATTATAATCTTTTGAGAAATGAAATGAATTGAGAGATTTGAGGAGAATTTGAAGAACACAAACCTTGAACACCAGAATGATAAACACCAAGGCCAACCCAATAAGCATAACCATTGATGGGAGTGAGATCGTATACGTTTAAATACACAGGAACAGTCCCTGTTTTCTTTTTTCTAGGAATCATCCTACACAACATCGTGTTCTTGCGTCAACCGATGTGAAATTCAATCGTCAAAATCTAGTCGAAATGTGAAAATTCGAAACTTTTCTCACTGTAGAGCATACGAAATCCCAATGAACGATCTTCAATTGAATTTCCGTAAAATTCTCAAAATTGAAACAAACCCATCATAACAAACTTCCATCCGCACAAAACCCACAAAAAATCTAACGAAAAGATTGAACTTTTTGATTGGGTTTGGGGAAATCTTTCAAAACCCTCTTCGGTATGCCTCCATCTTCAAAAACCCAGAAACCTGTTCTCACTTTCGGCCTCTGGAAATGGAGAAAAATTGGAAGGTTTTAAGGGAATCGGAGGGATTTGAGGAGGGGTAGATTGGGATTCGGATTGTGGGTTGCTTTTTCTAATAGAAAAAGGAAATTTTCATACTTTAATTCACATACATAAGTGGAATTTGAGAAGAAATTGACTGCTTAGGTTCCATCGGCGGCTTACTATTAAACAACTTTAATTTGAAGAACCTATGCTTTTGATAATTGCTTTGATTGCTTTCGGGGTGATAGAATCGGAATCGTATTTTATACAAATAGTACTCGAGTTTTCGTGTATTAAACTGTATGCCAAACTTTTTCAGGCTGTCATTCGAGAATTCTATAAAGAATTAACTATATATTAAAACCATCATAAGACAAAATTGGGTTTTGGAGTTAGCATGTACAAGTTGTTAAAGCCTAAAACAAATCAAATCAAAATAAAAACAAAAGGGTCGGTTTTGTTGGGTTTTATAGCATAACGGTTCATTTTGGTTTGAGCCACATCTTTACTAAATAAGATAAAACAAATTGAACCACATATTTACTAATCAATCTCGAATTTAGTTTTGTTAAGTAATCATTGATTTGGTCATTTTATATTTTTACTTATAGAACTATATGATTTTTTTTATTATGATAGGTATACACCAAACTAGTGTATATTTTGGAATGTAAATATTGTTGTTTGATTAGGATTCGGTGAGAAGATAAAATTAAGTAAAAACCGTGAATGGATAAGAAGCGTTTTTCGACGAACCAAAAAATCAAATTGTAAAATGATTATAATATACATTGTTTTGGTCAAAAATTGATCAAGTATAATTCGACCAAATTGTATGAGAGACTGTGGTGTTAATGTAATGTAAGTATCAAATGGTAATCAAAGTGAGACAAATGAGTTACAAGGAAAGCCCTTGATCCTTTGTACGATCTTTGATATAAAACCTTGGAATGTAATAATAATCATCTGCCTTGATGTGTTTTATTGATTTTAATCTGAGGCTACAAAGATTGTGAAAATAATACAAGTACAAGAGTAATGTTAGGGCTTATCGTGTGTGTTGTGTGCTAGATACATGTGTTATTTATAGTCTAGATTAAGTAACAAGAAATCCGATAATTCTGGGATCCCACGGAATCAACATATGAACGTTATTTGACTTGGTATTCCGGGTCTTTTGCCTAGTTGAGATGATTCTCTGTTGAGAATGGGTTTTGTGTTTACTAGTTCTGCACATGTGAGAAAAATAAAGAAAATATAGTCGTTACAAATGTTAGAAATATTAGTGGTAATAGTCAGGATCTGGGGATATATTTAAGGATCCCGTGGCTTCAGAAATATTTGAGGATCTTGAATACGATTCAAGGATCATGCCCCTAACAATTGCCCCCAAATTATACCTGTGAAATATAACCGTTAGTATTTAGATATTTGGAGGTATAATTTTTAAGTAAAAAAATGAAGTAAAAATCTCTAACGGATGGAGTAATTTGAATTTCAACGGGTAGATTTCTAGCCGTTGGAATGAGTCAAATCTCCCTTTTACCTTTCAGTGATTTCTGTATAAATAGGACATCCAGCTCCTTAGTTTTATCTAATTCTTCTAGCTTTCCTTCCGTCGTCAGTTGTATATCGTCGAAGGTACTAATTTTGTTCCCTTTTTTCCTTCTTGTCTTTAGTCATGGTTACAAAATCTATTAGTTCTCGCTCTAGGATATTTGATGTTCCTGATGATGATTTCAAGGACTAGAAGATTTTATCTTACGAGGAAACTTGTACCTTTAATGACGATGACATCAAGGTCATAAAGTCGGCTAGAACTTTTCCTACCGATACCATCTTTAGGGCTTTTGATGCTAGGATCCAACCTGATGTAACATCCCAAGTTCAGGTATACCTTGTAAACCTTGACCTTTTGAGTACTTGTCCATTTTAGCCCTTATTGTGAAAAAGGTGGCGAATGAGTACGCGGGGGGCGTACGCGAGTGTACGCTCAGCATACTCATGTGCGTGCTTTTGACGCAGAACCCACCTAGTACGCTGGGCGTACTAGGCCCAGAGTGAAAACCCTAATTTAGGGTGAGTCCCCTATATAAAGGATATGATGGCCTCATTCCTGGCCACCATTCTCAGACAACAAACCCTCCTAAACCCTAACTTTCGTTCATAGAGCTTGTGAGTGCATTTGAGAGCCTTTGAGAGTCTTTGTGTGTTCTTGAAGTGAAGAAAAAGCTTTGGAGAAGAAGGAGTGAGAGTCCAGGCCCTTGGATCTGAGCATACCTGTATTGGGAGCTTCACATAGAGGTATAAAGCTTCAAGCTTTCTCACTCTTTTGTTTTATGCATAAATAGTAGAGTATTTTAGGGTTTTGTCCCAAAAGTTGGAGACTTTATGAAATATTGAGCTCCAAAGACTATAATCAATCCTCTTTGAGTGTATTTAGTGGTGTAGTGTCATAAAAATCCAGTCTTGGATGTTGGAATCAAGCCATGCATGAGATATAAGCTTTTTGAGTTAAGAGAGTGAGTGTTTTGTGTGTTTGTGACCATATCAGCCATGCAAAGGCTTAAAGTCACTGACTTTATGGAGTAAGAGCTATTAGGGAGCCCATATCTGTGATATGAGCCAAGGTCTTTGTCACACCCCGAAACCGATGGCGGAAACGTTCTGGGGCGGAGTGACATCATGTGTAGTATCACAACAATTGTATCATAGTAAGCATAGTAAACACAACCATTACATTATAATATATGAATATTTACATTGTTCAAAAACGTGATTTATACATAACAGTATATAACAAAAGTAAAAGACGTGGCTTCAGAATGTTCCATCTTCTCCAAAAGTTGGCAGGAGTACCTGTCTAATGATGCCCTGAGAATACAAGCAGTTTTTAAAATATCAGCATAAAGTCGGTGAGTTCATAAGCATTTAGTTTTTAGAGATAGTGTTCTTTGATTCTTTTGAAAAGTGTTCCTCAAGAAAATCTTATATTTTCTTTTGAAAGGTAGTGTTGATAGAGTATCTAGCGGTAGAGAGTAAACCATCAGTTTTAGAAATGCTAGTGTTATTCTGGAAAATTCCTATATTTTCCCTAAAAACATGTTATCCGTTCTAGAGGTAGATATGCCAGTTTAGAGATCCTTGATTGCTATTAGCATATATAAAAGTAGTTTTATTAATCAAAATAAAACAAGTGAAGAGTAGAGTCCGTAAACAAGGTTAGTTTATACTTATTTGCGAGTCGTATAACCATACTTGATATGACCGAGAGACCTTTATAACGTTCTTCAGGCGTTAAGCTAAATGATATTTGTTCACCCCAGGCGTGCCCGCCTAACTGTAGCTAGCAGTTCAGGTGTGTGATTGTCAGTCCCGAATAGATCTATTCACAAATCTCACGCTCTCCCTCCAGGAGACTCTGGTTATACTAAAAGGATTTATCACTATACACCTAAGGGTACAATATTGAAGTAGCGCCTCACAATTCTGTATAATCTAGTTTACTAGCAAGAAATCAGTATAAAACAGTAATTATCCTTGAATAAATGTACTTTATACTTCTGAGAAAAACATATAACATAAACTAAATCTGCCATAGTTTATACATGTTCATTTATGAAATCTGATTAAGTAGAGACTGCCTAGAGGGTTATCCCAAACTATACCCATTATAGTTTATTAGAGTTGATCTGGAAAATGCTTTGTAAAACCTTTCTGAAAGATATGAAGTTGGGTTTCCAAAATAGAAGTTTCCCTTATGTTCAACATATTACAAAGAGAGATAAAATATCCGAATATGTTATTAAACGTGGAAATCGTTGGACTGCATTAATAAGTTTAAAACTTAATAAGGTACTTTGAGTTTGGCTTGTATTCCCCCCCCTTGAAAACATTAAAAACACGAAAAATGTAGGGGTATGAACTCACAGTTTATCGTAGGATCCGAAAGCACAATTGGTTATGAGTGTTGAGTGTCAACCGATGTTTCGAACACAAGTGGATCCTATTAACATATGATAACACATATGTGTGTTAGAATTAGGGTGTTTCATGGCTAAACATGACGGGAAATCACCCTAAAGACTTGGAAATGCTTGTCGGGACCCTATATGATCAAATAAGGGATGTGTACGGCCATATGAGTGAGTGTGCGGCCAGGGTATGTGGCCAGGTTGTGTGTGCGGTTGCACACAGGAGTGTGCGGCCGTTCAGAGGCTGTGTGCGGCCGTACACAGGAGTGTGTGGCCGCACACTCCTCATTTGTGCCCGATATGTCGATTTTGAGGTGTTTTGAGGTGTTCTAGTGCCAATACCAAGTCCAACTAGCAAATGGGGGGCCAAACTCTTCACTTAGGAGAGTTTTTGTGTGTGTGCGGCCACCTTATGAAGGTGTGCGACCGTACACCTTCAAAGGATGAAGAACACGAAGAACACTATGAGTTTTAAGCTTAGATTCAGGTGTCTTACCAATATAGCAAGCTGAATGATGGAGTGCTTCACGTTTTTGAGGCCCTTAGAGTGTTCTTGGATGATGTTTCTAGAGAGAGAAAGTAGAGAGAGAGTAGGGTGCAACCAAAAGAGGAAAAGAGTGAATGAAGGGGGTCTCCTCCAATATATAGGGTCGGGTGTGAGGCTGGAGGGTGTGTGCGGTTGGGTGTGCGGCCGTACACACCTTCTTTGATGTGTTTGGCCCGATTTTGTGATGCTACACACTTTCTAACCCTTCCTAAGACTCATATCCATGTTATACTAAGCCTAGAACACTCATATAGACCCATAATTTTCGTTATAAGATAGTAAAATGAAGGCTAACTTTGATAAAATGAAAAATGTACAAGTTAGAAATTTCGGGTTGGCACAGTCTTAACCGATTAAGACCAAATGAGTAAAAAGAGTGAAACTGGGACGCACGCTGGGCGTAATCCCAATACGCGCAACGTAAGGGTTGAGCATCCCTGATGCCTGCATGGCAGCAGAGTATGCCCAGCGTAGAGAGCTGGTACGCGCAGCGTACTCTTGGCCGTTGACTTTTGGTCGACTTTTAGGGTTTGGTCAATCTGTGGACTTTTAAGGCCATGGAGGGGTAAAATGGTCTTTTACCCTTCTGTGAGTTTGTAGAAGGGTTAGTCTAGCTTCAGTGAGAGCCGTTATTAATTAGGGATAGTT